AGGAGGGGCACCTATAGACTAACATCCCATAGACTAACATCCCATCAGCGTAGCTACCCCAGTAGTACATGTGAGCTATCATTGGACTTCTCAGTTATGTGAATCAATAAATTCCTTTTTATTCCCCTAAACCAATTCAATTTTGAATTCTGCAACTTGTAACAAGTGTTCTGACAGAAATGAAGCTTATTAAAGGGTTCTCCTCAAACAAGGATAATGGTAACCAATCAGATTCTCCCTTCAAAACTTTGAATATAAGAGTAGGATGTATAAGCAGAAGCCGAAAGAACATGCAAGGAAGACAGCAATCCAGGCCATGGAATTGATACTCTATCTTGGCCTCTATTTTCTTCCTCTTCTGTCTTTTTTCTATTTTATTATCTTGAGCTTATTTGTGACTTCAGTTTATTCTTGGTCCCACCTGCATCATGGCCAGGATTGCTGCAAATATGCTAAAGTGATTTGATTCTAAAACCTTCTTAGAAACAGCACAAGGTAAATTGTCACTAAAGCCTTCTGGGCTTTACACAGAACAAACAATAACAAGTTCCCTCTTCCAGCCTGGTAAGGCTCATCATAGCATCCTAGAATCCAAAATAACTATGTTCTAACTAGTGTAGTGACCACATTTGGGTCAGGATGTGGGCTTCCCTAAGGTAGGAGGCTTAAGAAGACAACTGAGATCCTTTGCAAGTAACTGTATCTGCAAGTTTCCTGGGTTTTCAAGTTACTTAACATCACTAAGTCTCAATTCTTGTGCCAAAATAAAGGGGGAAATCATTGGTTTGGAATAAAAAATGAAATATATGTAAAATCACCGGTATATGTTCAGTACTGAGCTAATGTTAGTTCCCTCCCCCTAAATTTTAATATCACTCACTATATGAAGTATTACCCAATTATCTTCTTTTGCTCAAATGTCTTAAAATTTATACAATGGAATGGTATTATTCTACATATGACAAACAGTTTAAACAAAGAAACAAGATTTTTTTAAACCTAAAAAGTTGACTGCTTATTCAAATGTTTTTATTGGATTTAAAATTCATTTAAGGGATACACAGATATACAACTAGTTTGATCAGCTACTAATATATTTTGGCAACCCTTTATTTTTGTACTCAAGAGCCAGTTCACTTTTTCTCCATGTTCAATACTTAGCTTTGGTAAAATTTTGCCCTGTTCTTCATGTGTTACTGAAGTATTAGTGTTTCCACCCTGGTTGGTATAAGTTGCCCTTTTAGTGCTTTTCCTGTGGGTATGTTTTATAGGACTCTTCTGTTTTTTCTCAACTTCACTGCTTACATCCCACATCATTACCTTCCCATCATTCCCTCCAGTAAGCAGCAAATAAGATTCTGGCAGAAAGCAGACCTGGGATACTCCCAAAGTGTGGCCCTTAAATCCCAATTCCTGTTCACACTTGACTCCCATTACCCTAAAGATTCGAATCTTTCCATCTTCTGCACCACAACTAAAAATATTGCCACATGATGCCACAGACACAGAATGGGCGAGAGCAGGATTTAAAAGCTGACCCGGTGACTGTGGGCTCTCCATTTCTTCTGTTTCATCCTCCTGTAAATTTGTAATCCAGAGTGGCCGGGCTTTCTGAAGGTTCCACAGCATCACCTTTAAACAAAAGGATGTTACATAGTCAAATAAAGTTCTAGCTATCTTGCTAAACTACTATGCTTATTCTGCTTCTAATAAAATCATCAAAATAGTCTGAGATTGATTAGTAGGATATTATTTCCAGCAATATTAAGAAAAAAATTAGCCCTAACCAGTTTGGCCCAGTGGATGGAGCATCAGCCTGCAG